AATGCTTGTTTTTCTATCAGGAGTCGTTCTCAGAGGGATCAAGGCAAGCTGTAGTTGATCTTTGCCCCAAATCGCCAGACTTCTCACAGAGGCCTGGATCCCATTTACAAACAATCTTTGAAGTGGGCACTTCTTGCAACAAACGTTCCTCTCATTTTTCATCACATGCAGCCCTGCCTGTCAGTCTCGCACCCCGAACCCATTTCCATAATCCGGAGCTATCCAGGAAAGAGAGGGGAAGAGAGGGCAGTAGAACAAGTCCCTTGATTGTAGCACCTCAATTACAGGCAGAAGAATTTCATCCAAAGTGCTCGAAGAAAGCATTGGGAAATGTTCAAATTGAAAGGAAAGTCCTGCAGATGAAAAGCCTCATTATTCCTTTCTGGGGTCCTCACTTTCATGCCGAATGCAGAAAAAGAGTGGCAGCCAAGAAAATTAAAAGAAGATTGTAAGAAAAGTGTGCATGGGATCAAATTAAATACAGTTTAAGTCAACGTTAGTCCCTACTGTGTCACAGTTCACTCTGGGGTAGAAAGAGGAGAGGTCCTTTCACACTCAATGCTGTTGACTAATGTAGATTGCGTCATCCATCCTTGGGGGAAGGGATATTCTTACCCTCCCAGGAGTACCAGAGAGACTCAAATCAATCAACCAATCAGAATAGAGCTGGAAGAGGCCTTGGAGGCCTTCTAGTCCAACCCCCTGCTCAAGCAGACCTTATACCCTTTCACCCATCACAATTTTGTCTACTCCCCCCAAGGTGTTTCTTAGTCTTCCGAAAGGTCCCTTAGCATTCATAACAGTCGATCCATCCTGGAAGTCTCAGGCATGGAGGTGAAGGAGCTGGGTGCACAGAATACAGTCTAACTATGCCTCCCATTGTCCCTGTAAGAGCCGTGGTGACACAGTGGTTAGAATGCAGCATTGCAGGCAAACACTGTCAGGAACGCAATGGGTTAATTCAGCCTCCCAACCTTCCAAGGTCAGTAAAATGAGGACCCAGATTGTTGGGGCAATGTGCTAACTCTATAAACCACTTAGAGAGTGCTGTAAAGCATTGTGGAGCAGTATATAAGTCTAAGCGCAAATGCTATTCTTTACTCTCTTGAAAGCATCCTTTTTTTCCACGACATCCATGCACTGTTTTATATGTGGCCTATGAATACTTTAACCACTTCTCACCTCATTGTTTCCAACATCTCATCGACTCTACCCAACCACAACTTTATCAAACCTTCT